ACGCACACACACCACACACACACACACACACACACACACAGTCACACACACATACACATACACACACACATACACACACACACAGTCACACACACATACACATACACACACACACAGTCACACACACACACACAGTCACATGCACACACATACACATACACACACACACACAGTCACACACACATACACATATACACACACACTCACACACACATACTAAGTACACTCACACACGCACACGCACACACACACACACAATATCGTCATAATTACCTCACAATATGACAAGTATACGTCTAAATGTGTTTGAGCACGGTTCCGGATACAACAATGCGAATGTTTTATGTATGTCTGGATCTCCTCACCTGCCGACACTTGAGCAGGAACTTCTTGAGGTCGCCGTGCTGCAGGAACTGCGTGACCAGGTACGGCGGGTTGGCGAGAGTACAGCAGCCCACCAGACCGAGCAAGTTCCGGTGTTCTCCCAGGTTTATCGTCGTCTCGATCTCACGCACGAACGTCGCCTTTTCTCCACGCTGGCGCCGTCTATTGTGATAGATGATTGTAGCAACGTTAAGCTTGTATCAAACGCAAAAGTTGCCTTCTCCTCCTCACTCGCGCCGTCTGTTGTAACAAATTGTAGCTAACGTTAAGCTTGTATCAAACGCAAAAGTTGCCTTCTCCTCCTCACTCGCGCCGTCTGTTGTAACAAATTGTAGCAAAGTTAAGCTTGTATCAAATGCAAAAGTTGCCCTCTCTTCCACACTGGTGCCGTCTGTACAGATATGGTCAAGGTATCGTGTTACATTTCTGGCCTGTTGTAACAAGTTTCAGTGTTGTAGCAAACGTTAATCTTGTATCATCATATAACAGAATCATCTTCGTCTACACTACTTCTGGCACCATCTCTTCAGCCACGGTAAAGTCATTGATCCTATACCTGTGTCTCGCTCTTTCCTAGAATGTTTTTTAAAGTTTAAAACCAGTAGGAATCTTGTATCGAACACAAAATTGCAGCTGCGGTCTTCTTCGGTATGACTGACCATCTAGTCTAGTCACGTGACGTAGCGGGTCAGTCGTTCTGAGGAAGATCGCAGACGCTGCATTAAATTCGAATTCTGTATTCGTCAGATTATTTTCGGCAACTACTTGTACCTACCGTGAACAGTCTTGACTACCACTGTCCTGTTGGTTATCACCCCATCTGGAGTTCTCTTCAGAGTCGCTAGGTGGACGACCCCGAAGGCTCCCCTGCCGATCTCCTCCCTCATCTCCAGGTCCTTCCGGTCCAGCTCGTACTTCAGGAACTGCGGCCTGGCGGGGACGGGGGGAGGCGGGATCTCTGCCGGATAGACGCGGTCTGTGGCAAGCAACAAAAGATACATACAGTTTATACACACATGTAGATCATAGTGCTGGTTTTTCTGGCTAGTCAATATATAGTTTTGTTCCAGATACATCAGAAGAATCAAGTAAATTTCCACTGTGGACAGTGGTTGGATCCGATCTGTGGACAAACATCGCAACGAGATACTGTTATAGATAGTACTGCTTACGCTGGCTAGACCATGGGCGCCACCATTTTTACTTGTAGTTTGGTTCAGATACAACGAAAACTGGACATCAAGCAAGTTTTTCCACTGTGGGCAGTACGTAGACTGACAAAGATTGAGAACATGGGGAATAACAAGATAGAGACCTATTGTGTCCAGATTCGTGCCTATATACGTAGGTGTAGCCTCTACCAGGCACCGCGGATCGCTGGAAAAATAGTGGAAATTGGCCGAAATAAAGGGATAGTATGCCAGAGAAGATCCAGGG